CCAAGATGCCTAACATTTGATTAAACAGACCAATGGACTAATTATTGTTTTGGCATTAGATGGACTTCAATTCTAACTAGCTGGTAATTAACAAATTTCTCTAGTTACCTTTTCCTTAGGAAGCAGTGTCAGTGAGATATGATCCCTCAAGAAATGTAGGGTTTTCTGTTTCCTTTAATCTCCTGCTTCTTCCTGGGAACACAGCCTGCATGTTTTAAACAGAATTGTCCCCATAGTTACAGAAAGTATATCTTTGTGAGAAGAAAAATAATACATGGCTATAAAGGCTTTAAAAAGATTTGTTTGGGAATAAAAGCTACATTATCTTTAATCTGCACAGGATTTGTGTTTCAAATCAAAATCCTAATAAAAAAGATGTTTGCCCCTTAATCTGTTCCACACTGCATGCAATTTCATCAAAAGTTTTAATATCCTCCTCAAGCTTTTACAATTATTTCAAGCCCTTACTCTTGATAATGAGTTTAGGAAATCCAAGGTAGTTTGTTGTTGTTGTTGTTGTTGTTGTTGTTGTTGTTGTTGCTGCTGGGTTTGGGGGGGTTTTTGGGGGGGGGATTTTTGGGTTTTTGTTTTGTTTTGTTTTATTTAAAGATCACCACTAACTGGAAACCAGAGGCCAAAGACAGTATTAAACTGGGAGCAGGAACCCATACTTCTTTTTAATATGAAGACTTAAATGTCATGGCTAATAAATGAATGCTTCATCAAGATTCAGAAATTAATTTTACAAATGACTGTCACACCTAGCACTCTGAGCTAAGATCAGATTATAGTTTACAGGGCACAGACTTATGCATCCTGACAGAAAAAAGGAAGAGTAACCTCCTCTCATTCACCTCAAAGACTTTCTGGAGAAGAGCTCAGCTGCAACTGTTGAGGTTAGGGGTGCTAGGACCTCAAAATCACAACACATGGGTCCTGCCCGAAAGAATTCGACCCAAACCTTCTTTCAGCCAAAGACAAGGTTTATTAGAACATCCATCATATTGGTCAGACTCTTAAGGAATCTGAACATTTGTGACTCTCATAAAGACAAGTATGCTTGAGCAAGTCTCAGCCATTGGCTAGACTCTTAAGGAATCTGAGCATTTCCTAGACTTTAAGAATCTCAGCACCTCAATGGAGGCCAGATAGACCTTATATACAGAAAGACTGTGGAGGGATTTAGGAGTGGCCAAGTAGTTTGGGGTGACTGGAGGAGGGGTCAGGGAGAAGGGGTGTCTTGATGGGAGTGACCAGTAGACTGAAGTGACTGAAGGAGGGGTCTAGGGAGGATCTTGATGGGAGTGACTAGAAGGTAGAATGGGGTCTAGATAGAATCAAGGTGGGAAGGAGCTGGGGGACCTTGGGAGGTAATAGATAATGGAGGGCTGGGCTAGATTAAAGGTAACAGAGAATTTGGGAGATTGAGCCTAGGTGATAGTGAAAGGTCAGTTGATAGGATTATAGCCTCAGGCTAATGCTAGAGACTTCCTTAACCAAGTAGGAGAATTCAAGGAGAGTCAGTAGACAAATGGGACCCAAATTCTTTTTGGGGTGATGGGCAAAGTTCTCAGCTTGGACCCATACTCCATCAATTTTACTAATGTCTTTTGTTTTTATATCACCTTAATTTCAAATATGTCCCTTGCCACTCTGCTCAGAAAGTTATGCCTTATAACAAAGAATATAAAACAAAAAAGGGAAAAAAAACAATTCAGCAAATCTTATGAACACATTAGCCAAATTTTCCAGTATTTACAATGTGCTATACCCAAAGTCTTTAATCTCTGCAAAGGAAGAAGAGATATGCATTTTCTCTTCTCTGAGGCAAAACATGGTTATTACAATTATACACCATTCATTTCCAGGGTTTGTTGTTGTTATTCTTTCCATTTTAAACTGCTGTAATCTCATATACTGCTTTCCTGGTGCTATATATCTTGCTTCAGTTCATATAAATCTTCCTATGATTCTCTGTATTCTTGGATCATTGTATTTATGGCACTATATTCCATTATATTCAATATGCCACAATGTGTTTAGTTCTTTCACAATTGGTTGGCATCAGCTTTACAAATAAAATATCTCCAAATGAGACTTTAGATGAATAGGATAACTATTTAGAAACCAAAGATTATTACTAAATCAAGAACCTGATGAAGATGGGAGCTAAATCCCAAAAAGAAAAAACCCTAGACTTTCCTACATGGCCAAATCTCTGGGTTTTGCCTGAGTCTATAATCCCATCAAACTGTCCTTTCTTTGTGGCTACACCCAATCTCCCAATTCCCTTAACCTAGCCTAAACCCTTTTATAGCCCCCAGCCATTTCCCACATTTAATCCTAGCAAGGCTCCATTGTCCAGGTCCCAGGAGTCCAGTTCACCCCAGCTTACTGGCCACTCCCATCCAGATCTCCTTAGACTCCTCCTCCAGTCACTCCAAACTACTTGGCCACTCCTAGATCCCTCCTACAGTCTTTCTGTATATAAGGTCCGTCTTGTCTCCATTAAGGTGCTCAGATTCCTAAAATCTAGCTACTGCTCAGATTCTTAGAATCTAGACAGTACTTACAGACATTCTTGAAGAGTCTGGCAATACAGCCAATCTTTAATAAAGCTTTTGGCTGAAAGAAGGCTTGGGTTGAATTCTTTCAGGCAAGACCCATGTGTTGCGATGTTGGTGTCCAGCACCTCTAGACCTCATCAAACCTACCTCTTACTAGCAAAAAAAACAATGGAATAAAAACAAATTAGACTAATTCTAAGAAATGTCTGCTTCCTGAGATAGGGCCCTTCTTTTCTCATTTGTTCTGCCAAAAATGTCCAGCAGAACTAAGTAGAAGTCAGTGTGATGTCCTGGAGACTATTGTATTTTAGTCATCTTTGGGATTGAATTCTGTGTCTGCTAGTTACTACTTGTGTGACCTTAAATAAACTACTTAATTCTTCTGAAGATTTCATTTCATCATTTATAAAATAAACTATTAGAACTATATTTTCCTTCTATGTCTAGATACTTGGATGCTGTGAATTTGACATGGGGGAAAAATGTTAGTGAAAGGCATAAAATAAAGGATGTGTAAATTCAGAGAGCAAACACACCTTGGGGGGAAAAATTCTTTACCAAAGTTGTCAAATTAACTATTAAGAAGATGTTAATCCACTTAATGAACACTTTGCTAAATTGTAAATGTAATTCATTGCATTCAGCCTGGTACCCTGGATAAAAAACTATTCCCAGAACCTGCGTTCAAGTCCTACCTCTGACACATTCTAGCTCTCACCCTAGGCAAGTTGTTTAATCTCTCCATGTTGCAGATTATATTCTCTAAAGGTCAGCTAGGTGGGACAGTGGATAGAGTGCCTGGCCTGGAGTCAGGAAAACCTGAGTTCAAATCCAGGCTCACTTACTTGGTAGCTGTGTGACCCTGGGCAAGTCATTTAACCCTGTTGGCCTCAGTTTTCTCATCTGTAAAATGAGCTAGAAAAGGAAATGGCAAACCATTTTAGTATCCTTACCAAGAAAACCCCAAACAGGGTCACAGAGTTGGACACAACTGAAACAACTGAACAACAGTGACAGCAAATATACTCTAAGACAGTAAGTGGAAGAGAAGGTGCCACCCTGTATTGGTAAGGGCAGTTTCCTCATCTGAGAGTTCCTTATATCAATAAAATCACAGATCCAATCCCAATCCCTAATCCATACTTACCCCAAAATAGTTCAGTTTGGATATAATAAATTAGCAGGGGCAGTATTCCATGATGGAAAAGCATCTGAACTTTTAGTAACTATATAACCATGAGTAAGTATCTTCCCTTCAGTCTTTTTTTGCTTTCCTATTATTGGTTCATTATATTTTAGTGACTTGGCAAAGGCATTCCACTATCTTTTGAATGTTTTAGAGAGATTTTTCATGACATTTACAGTTGGAAAGCATCACCTAATAACTTAGCTGTCGTTCAATCCAACTGCTCATTTTATAGATGAAATAATGAAACACCAAAAAAATTAAGTGAAATTTACCCAAGATCACACCAATTCAAGTGGTCATTCCCTTGCACTACTCTGACTCACCATTTAATACATGGTACTGCTTTGTTCTTCCACTAAAAAGGTTCCTGTTTTGGTGCCTCATGTTGGCATGGAACTGGCCCTGGTTTCTCAAAGGTAATGTCAGGAGATCACAACCTGTAAAGGTTTTAATAAAATGCCTGTAAGGACCTGTTGTCTAAGGACAACAGAAGTTTGACATAGAATCAAAAAGGTTTGTCACTAGATGTACAGCCACTAGGTAGTAAATTATTTCAATCAAAGCAATTTTTGCAACTGTATGCTAAGATATTAGGGCAGCTAGGTAGCACAGTGGAGAGAGCACCAGGTCTGGAGTAAAGAAAACCTGAGTTCAAATCTGGCCTCAGACACTGACTAGCTTTGTGAACCTGGGCAAGTCACTTAACCTTGTTTGCCTCAGTTTCCTTATCTGTAAAATGAGCTGGCAGAAGGAAATGGCAAACCATTTCAGTATCTTTGCCAAGAAAACCCCAAATGGGGTCACAAAGACTTAGACACAATTGAAACAACCAAACAACAACAACAAGAACTAAGGTATTAAGGCAACAATTTACATCACTAGGGGAAATACCTTCTCTCCCAATGAAGGCCTATGTCTTTTGAAATATTGAACTAATGTTTTACCATTTAACAAAAATTAAATAATGATTTCTACTAAGAATGACATTCATGAATATGAATGAGTAGTGTAACTATTGATTATTTTCAACTATCTTCGGTAAAATATGCAAGGACTTACTTTCTGAAGGTTATTTTTTCATTTTGCTAATGAGTCTGAAACTGCACTTATGGTCATGTGTCACAAGACACTCTGTGTTGGGCTGTGGGTACTGTAGTGGCTATGATCTATTTGATTGTCGTTCATAACAGCAAATAAAGTTTTCTGGAAACCTCAGTGGCTTGAAATTTGCTTCCTTTTTTCAGTCCCAGAAGTCATAACAGGAGACATGGAATCTGCCATGGCTGTAGACCTGAACCCCTGGGTAGAATATGAATTCAGAGTGGTGGCAACTAATCCTATTGGGACAGGAGATCCAAGCACACCATCTCGAATGATCCGAACTAATGAAGCAGGTGAGAATCTTGAAAACTGGTGCTTCTCATCTGGGACAACTCCAAACAACTAAGAAATACCAAAAAAGAGTTTGCTAGTCATACCATTCCTGAAGTACGATGTTCAATCCTCAATACCATATTTTGGGAGAAACGTTGGAAAATGAGTGTGTCTCAAGTCTTCAAATATTTTAGAGGCATGCATAAAAGAATTAGATTAGGCATGACACCAGAACATAGAATTAAGACAAATGTATAGACAGTCAGTCAATACGCATTAAGTGCCTATTATGTATCAGTCAACATGCTAAACACTAGGACTACCAAAAAAGGCAAAAAGCAATCCCTGCTTTAAAAGACCTACACTCTTAGGTGGAAGACAACCTGCAAACAAATATGTACAAACAAGGTATGTATAAATTGTAGATAATCAACATAGAGAAGGCACACAATTAAGGGGGATTGGGAAGGGCTTCTTATAGAAGGTGGGTTTTTTAGCTAAGACTTGAAGGAAGGAAGAATAGAGCGCCAAGCATGAGGGACAGCCAGTAAAAATGCTCAGAGTTGGGAGATGGAATATTTTGTTCTCAAGGAACAATAAAGAAGCCAGTGTCAATGGACTGCACAGCACGTGGTGGGGAGTAAAGTTAAAGAAGACCAGAAAGGCAGAAGGGAGCCAGGTTGTGAAGGGTTTTGAATGCTAAACAAAGGATTTTTTTATTTAATCTTAGAGGTTTTAGGGAGCCATTGGAATTTGTTGAATAGGGGGTAATAGATCACTTTGCTAGCTGAATGGATGGTGGACTGGACTTTGTAGAGATTTGAGTCAGTGAAAACAACCAACAGACTATGTAATAGTCCAGGCATAAATTGATGTGGGCCTTCACAGGATGTTGCAGTGTTAGAGAAGTGGGCATGAGAGATGTTGCAAAGATAAAATTGACAGGGGTTGGCAACAGTTTGGATATGGATGGTGAGACTGAGGAGCTGAAGATGGTATACTTGGGTGACTGGGAAGATGATGGTACCCTCAACACTAATAGGGAAGTTTAGAAATGGGGAGGATTTTGAGAAAAAAGGTGATTTCAGTATTGGACATCTCGAGTTTAAGATGTCTACAGGACATCCAATTTGAGATGTCCAGTAGGCAGTTGGAGATATGAGATTGTAGGTCAGCAGACAGGTTAGGGCTAAATAAGTAGATCTAAAAATCCGCAGAGAAATGATCATTGAATCAATGGAAGCTGATGAAATCACCAGGAGAGACAGTATAGAGGGAGAAGAGAAGAGGGCCTAATACCTGGCCCTATAGGACATTCATCTTAAGCAGACATGTCTTAGATGAAGATCCAGCAAAGCAGACTGAAAAGGAGCAATCAGACAAGTAATAGGAGAAAGATCTAGCAATGTCATGGTGTAAAGAAAAAGAGGGTGATCGTAGTGTCAAAGGCTGCAGAGAGGTCAAAAAGGATGAGGATTGATAAAAGGCCATTTGATTTGGCAATTAAGAGATCATTGCTAATTTTGGAGAGAGTAATTTTGGTTGAATGATGAGGTTGGAAGCTAGATTGTAGAAAATTAAAGAGAGAATGTGAAGAAAGAAAATGAAAGCATCAATTATGGATGGCTTTCTCTAGGTATTTAGCCACAAAAAGGAGGTTGATAAACCAAGTGAATGTTTTTTGAGAATGAGAAAAACTTGGGCATGTATGTGGGCATTCAGGAAATAGCTGATAGACAAGGACATATTGCAGATAGGTAAGAGTGGGAATTATAGAAGGGGCAATCTGCTGGAGAAGATGGTCTGTGACAGGGTCATTTGTGCATGTAGAGAGATTTGACTTGGAGGCCCAGGGACAAGGGCCACCTCTTCATGTGAGATAGGAATGAAGGAGAAAATAGTGGCAGAAAATATCTGAGTAATGTGATATGAGGAGAAGGAGGGAAGAGGAGGCTCCATTTTTTTTTTCAGTGAAATATGAGGCAAGATCCACAGCTGAGAGGGTAAGAGGAACAGTGTGAATTTGAGGAGAGATGAAAAGGTCTAGAAAAGGTGAAAAGGGATTGTCTTGCCATAGTGAGGACTCAGTTAAGATTATGTAAGAGAAATTTATAGAAGACTCAGTTGGCATTGTTTTGAGATTTTCCCCCTTAGCTTTGCTCAGCAGCACACAAGTAGGAGCAAAGGTAGCAAATAGTGAACGTAATACAAAGCTGAGGCTTAGCAGAGCAAGACAGATGTATACAGGGATATGAGGAAATAGGGCAAGCTGCACAAGAGAAAAAGACAAAGAAGAAATTACAAGGGGCAAATTTCAACCTACTCACAATTAGAGAATCAATTGTAGAAAAATTTGGCAAGGTAGCTATGTATCAGGTATAGAACTGGACAAGACAATTTCTCAGGGTTTCCCAATTCAGTGTCTACTGTATGTTTGGCATTTTTTTTTTATTACTACACATTGCTAAGGACAAAGCCATGCATGCTGCAGACATTTAAATTTTTTATTGGCATTGAATCAGATCAACTTTGTAAATTGTTGGATATTTACACTGACCAAATATCCAGACTTGGTTTTGGACTATTAAGATCATCAATTCTGATCTACTGCAGAGCAATCTACCCATCCCTTGGTACTCAAAGGTGCTAGTCTCAGAAAAGAATTTCTCCCCAGATGATCTATTTAGAGTATAAATAATCATACAAAAAAAGAGGAGATGGTTAGATTGTTGTACTACAAAGCAGGACTTGATAATCAAGATAAGTGAAAGTTAAAATAGTCTGGATATATTGAAACAAACATCTCTCTTCCTTTGTCATTTACCCATTACAGATTGTTTTCCTCCCAGGGCTTTTTTTTTTCTTTTCCGGCATGCAAATTTTAAATTGAACATTAATTGCCTGGTTGGGTTTCCATGCTTTCATAAAATCAGCCATGCTTTCATTGTGTACAGGTGTTCATTAATTAAGTACATAATAGGTTAGTCATTCCTCATTTTATTTACCTGCTATGCAGATATCGAAATGACTGGTAATCATAATGTGATGTTCATAACCTTTTTTTAAAAAGCACCCCTGATTTTGCATATTGTTCATTGTGTTTCAACAAAGCCAAAGATTACTGCTTAATTTGAGAGTTCTCTATATAAATATTCATTTGTAAAACAAACAATCCGTTTTGGATGAGTAATCCTTTTTTACTTTTTTTTGATAGTATAATCTCCACAGTTCTATTAAAGAACACTTTTTAAAGATTTAGTAAGAACACTTTTCTCTCTGCAGACTGAATTATGGTCAGGCCATTTGATGTTTATTAATACCCAAGAAATGCTGCATTTTAGATTTCTTCTGTCTTTTTCTGCAGGTTTACCTCAATCACATAGTGCCCATCTTTCTTACCAGGAGCTCTACCCCTACATACTTCAAACTCTTATAATCTTACTTAAGAAAGTAAGGAAATCACATGAAAAAAAATGCGTAAAGGATTGTCAGTTGAAAGAGAGTTGAAGGCAGCTTTTACTGCCAGCATTATGTTTCCCAGGTTTGGGTACCACATGTTGCGCTGGAACTGTTAATGCTGTTGAACCCCATGTTCCATTTGGCCTCCATTTCAGCAGGCAGCATGAATTAGAAAGAACACTGACAGTGTTAGAATTCTTATCAAATGACAAGCTGTACCTCATATGTAAATCTCTCTTATAAATACACATCTAGAATTCTAAAAGATGAACTGTTCTAATCAACCAACTATGTTCTGAGATTTAATTAAGGAGGATATGGGAGGAAAGAATCAAAGATGCTTTGTTTTTTTCATCTGAATCCTATTTATGAAAAGGCAGTGTTGTATGCAAGGATAAGTGCCTTAGACTAAGGATGTTGAGAAGTAGAATTTTCCCAATTTTAGCTCTACCTTTAACTAACTCTATGTACTTAGGCAAGTCACCAAAGCTCTCTAGTTGCAAATAACAATATTCTCTCAATAATACAATACGACCAGAAGTGAAAGAATACCACAGTCTCTGAAGAATTAAAGTTGAGGATCACCTGAAGGGGAGATAGAGAGTGGCTGTGAGTGGCTATAGCAGATCAGTAATAAGAAATTGCATGGGAGAAGTGGCATAAAGGATGTTATTGAAGAGATGTAGTAAAAGCAAGAGTTGACTGATGGACAACTCACACATATCTGAAATGTTGAGAAAACCAAAAGGAAGCCTCAGGACAGTGAGCAGACCCTCTATTATCTGTGGATGAACATAGACAGGAGTCACACAGGATATGAAGGCATGGTTGGGTTACAGTCTGTATCACCAAAGAAAATGTATACAATAAGATCATAGACCCAGTGAACTATTGAATTGAAATGGTTGGGTAGAACTTGATGGTCTCACAGTTCTCTTTCAGCTTTAATACATTATTATTAAATTCTAGTATGACTTTAGGGGTTTTTTTAATTACAGACTTTAAAATACATATACCTATTAAAAACCTATGTTATATTGCCTATCACATAATCATTTTGGATTTTATTATTAATTTGCTTCTTAGGACAAAAAAAGGTTAAGGGCAGAAAAAGGAATGAGAGACTGGTTAAAATATAGATACATAAAGGGGACTAGAATAAATAAGCAGAACAGATAGATTAGAGTCAGGTTATGGGAGCCTAGAATGATAAGCAGTATTTTATATTTTGCCACTGAAAGTCTCAAGTAAAGGAGTTACATGATTATAACAATATTCATCAACGTACTCCATATTTAATGGATCTTAAAACTTTTTAAATTGAAAGCTATATCCTTTGGCATTACAGGAAGGAGAAGAATTCCTAAAAATCACACTTTCTCCTGGCACTATCTGTAATTAAAATGTAATTCTCTTACTAGCTGTGTGACCCTGGGCAAGTCACATCACCTTGTTTGCCTCAGTTTCCTCATCTGTAAAATAAGCTAGAGAAGGAAATGGCAAACCATTCCAGTGCCTTTGCCAAGAAAAGTCCAAATGGAGTCATGAAGAGTTAGACACA